GCAGGGGGCTGCGCTGAGCCACTTGCGGCCTCCACCGTCTCCTGCTCTGTAACATCCTGTCTGTCTCCTGTGCGTCCTGTATACGTCACCCATAAACCTCCAGAAACAAGCGCTGTGTCTGTGCTGTTCCATTCTGTCTGCTGCCTCGTCTCTGTGCTCCATCACGCCACACTATCACTCTGTCTCAGCCAGGGAAGCAGTGCATCCACAATCCCACTCTCCGCCCGTACCCGTTATCCCTCCAGTGACCACAGGAGGGCAGCTGCACTGAGGGCCAGTGAGTGGCCGACCTGCTCAAGAGTAGAGTTGCACGCAGCTGAAGGGCTCTTCACTCACTGGCTCTGGGCCTGATTCTCAAAAACCCTGCTGGGATGCGGCCCTTAGGTCCGTTCTGGGGACTGCTGGTCTCGAGAGAGTTCTGATCCGGTCCGCAGTCTCAGTGAGTGACCGCTGGAAGCGGAACTGACCCAGCCCAGGTACAGGTGTCCCACAAGGCAGAGAGCGGGCCTGAGCAATTAGCTACCTGCAGCTCCGATGGGTATCTGGGTGCTGCCCCCTAGTGGCCAGTGAGTGTAGCTACCTTTTCATGAGTCTCAGTCTGCTGTGAGGAATCACATGCAGTACAGAGTGAAGCGAATAATTCGCAATGTCATTAACAGCTTTTTTGCCCTCAGGGATGAGTGTTGAGGTTCCCCACTCCAGTTACATACTGTCTGTCTCTACTTCCCCTATCTGTCTCTGTCATACCTGTCTGTCTCTGCTACCCCTATCTGTCTCGGTTACACCTGTCTGCCTTTGTTACACCTGTCTGTCTCTGCCGTCTGTCTGTGTCTCTTTGCTTGTGTGTGAGCTCTGTCTGTCTGTCTCTACTTCCCCTATCTGTCTCTGTCACACCTATCTGTCTGTAACACCTGTCTGTTTCTGACACACCTGTCTCTCTCTACCTGTCTGTCACACCTGTCTGCCTCTGTCATACCTGTCTGTCACACCTGTCTGCCTCTGTCATACCTGTCTGTCTCTGTCACATCTGTCTCTCTCTACCTGTCTGTCAAACCTGTCTGTCTCTGTCACACCTCTCTCTCTCCCTGTCTGTCTTTGACACACCTGTGTATCATGGACACTTCTAACTACCTTGCCAGTCAGTCTCCACCTAACTGTGCACCTCAAATACACCTGTCTATCTCTACCAGCACTGTGTGCCTCCTGCTCTATCATACCTGTATGCGCCCACCTCTCTATCGCAACTGCCACTTTCCTCTCTTTAGTGTGGAAGCACCACTCATCATCTGCCTAAAACCTGTCTACCTCTTCAGAAAACACTACCCTGAGCTGTGACGCTAACCCTGAAAGTGAAGCTGCATGCTAACTGCCACACAAGCCCTGCTGTTAGTCCTCACTCCGTCCCTAATTAATAACAGCCATCAGAGTTACTCTTTAAGAGGGTTAAAGGGCTGATCTGAGGCCCCTGCAGACAGCACTGTCACCCCAGAACAGAGCACATTGGCTATAGCACTGTCTCTCTCTCTCCAAGCGTGTGAAACTCTCACTCTCTCCAGAAGTCCCTCTCCTCCTGTACTGCCCAGTCTCACTCTCCCAGTGCCCCGTCTCACACGGACACTGGGGCACTCTGTGTGAACTCTATCATACTGACTCTATCACACTCACAGACTGACACTGTCATACTGAACTCTATCACAAGGACTGACACTAACACTGTGTAATACTGAACTCTATCACACTGACAGACTGACACTAACACTGTGTAATACTGAACTCTATCACACTGACAGACTGACACTAACACTGTGTAATACTGAACTCTATCACACTGACAGACTAACACTGTATCACACTGACAGTAAAAGATTGATACTGTCACACTGAGCTCTATCAATCTTTTACAGTATGATTGACACAGTCATAATGCCACCTGAGGGGTGATAGGGCATTAGAGAATCAGACCATAATAAATGTCTGTCTGACATTAGAAGAATAAGGATAGGAATAAAATCACTATCTAAATACTAATCAAAAAATCCCCATCTGACAGCACTGTAGTTTTCTTATATCACACACTCAAACTCTGACCAGAACAAACAGCCTGGGCTCCTTCAGGTTCCAGGTTTGTACATGAGTCACTGGCCTTGTCAGGACCCCTCAGCTGTCTGTCAGGAGTTACCGGTTCAGTGAGGAGGGACACTGTCTCAGACACACAGAGGTCAGGGGTTACGAGCCGCCTCTCAGCTGCCACCTGTCTGAGGCCTGTCATGGATAAGGAAAGTCGCTGGAGCTCGGGATATCGTTGGGCACACGCGACACAATCTGGAACGACATTGTCATCCAGTGTCATCACCTCCTGTCTGACACAGGGGGAACGCCCAGGGGACCCGATTCCTCCACCTGCGTCCATCAGAGCCCACCAACCCCCCTCCCCGGCGTGCCTGCAGGTGCCATTAGAGGCACAGGCACCAGGGGGCGCTGTGTTGGGCCCCGGGTTAAGGCAGGACGTGAGCGAGTGCTGTGTTAAGCCCAGGAGTGGGGGATATAAGGGCGGCAACTGAGACAGGAGCAGCGGAGCATTGCACTCTGACCTCTGACCTCTGCACCAGCTCCCTCGACCCGTATCCTGTGCGTGGGGCTCGCAGGGTCCCCGAATTCGAGGGGCAAAGACTACTGTTTCTCCACACCCCGATTCTTGAGCCACACTAACTCCCGACCCCCAGACGCTCACAGGCAACGGAGTACAGAGACCCCCCACACCCTGAAGGCCTGAAGAAGGGGAGAGCAGCTCGGACCTCCAGGAACAGGGGAGTGAAAGAGGGAGAGTGTGTCCGCGCAGGTGTGTGCGTGAGCGCGCATGTGTGAGGGGCTGGTGATGTCACAGAGCTCGGGGTCACGAGGTCACGTCTGTCTGTTTCACTGCATTCCCAGACTGCATCACCATTCACACATCCACTGACGAAAAATTAATCAATTCATTAATTACAAATGTAGGAGCCGCTATGGAATTAAAAAAAAAAGAATTAAAACTAAATGACAAAAAGAAAAAAAAGTATTTACTTACAAAACTGCATGTGCAATGTGCATGCTACAATATGGGTTATAATGTCATCTTCAGGACAAGTATATATATATAGCGATAGATGTTTTTAAAGCAATGTGTTTCTTTTTCTCTTCTATTTTTAAAAACAAACAGAAAAACTGAAAAAAAAACTTTGGTAAATGAATTAATTAATGGAAAGTTTGTTTGTTTATATTCAGAGCTGTTACTGAACTGGGTGAGATGAGACAATGTCAAACGCTAAAAAACGATTTCAGAACAGACCCTCCACAGAGCTGTTCCCTACTCTGGCTATGAGACCTCTCTCTGCTCTTTCTACCAGTGCATTTTGTAATTCCAAACAGAATCTTCCTAATGAACCTGAATAAAATCAGAGAGAATGCACACTCCTGTCTGTCTGTGTCTCCCTTCTCTTCCTGTGCTGAACGGCAAGCTCACCTCAGCTCCCCTGCCCAGAGGGGCCCAGCTGTTAGCTGCCTGCCTGTCCCTCCTCCTCCCCCTGTTGAGGAGATACGCTTCCTGTCCCCACATTCCTCCCGCCCACCACGCCTCCTGCTTCCTGTCCCACATTCCTCCCGCCCACCACACTTCCTGTTTCCTGGACTCCCAGACACCAGCAGTGTGGGTGGCTAGCCCCACTCACACTGAACCACACTGTTACACAAAGACACACACTGGTACACACTTTCACAATAACTCACACTAGTAC